AAAAAGTCTGGAAAATTAAATCCTGGAATCRTTGAGATTGGAAAAACCTTCCAAGATCATTTTGTCCCCCARCACTGCCAAGGCCACCACTGGATGTGCCACATCCCCATGGATTTTAAATCCCTCCAGGGATTGAGCTGCCTGTTCCAGTGCCTTTTCCTGCCTGTTCCAATTCCAGCTGGCATGAAAGGATGTGTTCCACTGGTTTTAAACTGCACAGGAGCAAAGTTGGATGGGCAAAAGCCTCAAAACCCCAGAGATGCAGGAGGTGCCTTGTGATRACCATGAAATCCCACTCAGTGCCTGTTTGCACTTTTGGGAATGTCAGGAAGTTCTTCCCGGGGTTGGTGCTGCCTTTGGGCACTCACTGATCCAGCCCAGTGCAGAATGTGCTTTGAGAGACCCCTTCTCTAGTGGCAGTGCCTTTTTAGGGTAATCACACTAATTAATCAGCCTTGAAATCATAAAATCTAAGAATGGTTTGGGTTGGAAGGGATCTTAAAACTCATTTTTTCCACCCCCTGCCATGGGCAGGGACACCTTTCACCATCCCAGGCTGCTCCAAGCACCATCCAACCTGGCCTTGGATGCTTCCAAAGATGGGGAAATGCCATTTTTGTAAACATTCAGGTAAATTCCAATCTCCACCCACACAGACTTGAGCTAAAACCCCACCAAAAGAGGTGGAAAATCTCATGGAGATGGTTAAGCTCCGATTTCACAGGTTTGGGTTGGAGCTGGTGATGGATCCAGCACAATTCCAGGATCCTCTGTGCTCCAGAGCCTCATCCTGCAGAGCAGCAGCAGGAGGAGCTGGCAAAGGAAAGCTGTGAGCAGARCTGGCAGCTCCAGGGGTGCCAGAGCCCTGCAGGAGCCCAGGCTGGCAGKGAGGAATGGGTTTGCAGCTTGGCAGGAGTGCTGGGCATCCAGAAATGCTCCTTTGGCAGCRGATGAGCCGGGCTGGATGCGCTGTTTGGTGTGGAAATGCATCCAGGAATGCAGGGTGGGGTGGAGGAGAGGGCTGGCTGTGCCCTGGCACAAAACCTTTGAACCCCAATCTCATCCCATATTTTTTGCTCCACATCCCCGGGTAAAAGATGGAGATTTTTGCAAAGCTGGAAAGAGCAAACCAAGAGCTGATGCAGCTTCATCAGGGATGTGCCTCGCTGTTTGCCCTCCTAAATCCCAAATTTTGGTGCCTGTTTGGGGTGGGTGCTGCTGGTGGCAGAAGAAAATGTCCTTCAGATGTGTCAAAGATGCTCTTCATTCAGCAGGCAGCAACAAACGAGGTGGATTTTTGGAGCTTGGGGAGCAACTGCAAAAATCAGCAGCAGAATTTCTGCTTCTAGACATTAACTGAAAGTGATTTTAATGGAATTATGGAATGGTTTGGGTTGGAAAGGAACTTAAAGCTCATCCCAGTCCATCCTGAAATGGGATCAGATAATTCCCACTATCCCAGGGTGCTCCAAACCCCATCCAGTGGAGAGATGGCAGGTCAGCATTATCCCAATTAATCCCTCAATCCCCTCCAGCAGAGCTCAGCTCCCAGCCCTAACCAGCAAAACCCCAAGCATTTGGGATAAATCCCAAACCCACCGTGCTTCCCAATATTTCCTGGTGTTCCCATGATCACAGGGCTGCTGGGCTGAGTTTTTCCTGAAGTTAAATCATGTTTTGTGGCATTCCCAGGGGAATGCAGGCTGTGCCTTTTTCCCCTCACTGCAATAATGGGATTCCTGCCTTGGAGCCCACAGGTTAATGAGTCCTCGCTYGTTATTTCTGTGCTAATGATGTTTAACATGGCCAGGACATGGATATTGTCTCTATGGGGCTGTGATTACAGTTTGGGGTCTGGCTGGGTTGTTTTGATGCTT